TTGACTGATGTTGACACAGCACGACTTGTTTACTTTAGTTATTTTAATAGCATAATCTCGTACGGTATTCTACTGTGGAAGAATTCTCACGACATTCAAACTATTTTTGTATTGCAAAAGAGAGCGATTCGAGAACTTTATAATTTAGATAACCGTTATTCAAAAAGGCAGAAATTTAAAGAAATAAACATAATGACAGTGGCAAATACATATGAAAATCAAAAATATGTTTATAAAAACAAAGATAGCTTTTTGAACAGAAGTGATGTACATTCTATAAATACCAGAAATAGAAATAAACTTGTAGTACCCGCCTCTAGGCTCCAAAAGATAAACAAGTCTTTTTGAAGTCAATGTATCCGATTTTATAATAAATTGCCAAATAATATTCAGGACTTAAGTATTAACAAATTTAAATCCGTAATAAAACGTGGATTGTGCCACAGGGCGTATTACTCAATTGTGGATTACATAGAAGACAAAAATGCTTGGGATAAATTAGCGCAGGCTATTTTTAAGGAAAAATGTGGTGTTCGCTAGTGTGTTTATTATTATTATTTTTTATGTTTCATTTCAGTTTTTCTTTTATTCGATTTTTTTTTCTTAATCTTGTTTTCTCTTCATTGTCTCTTTACCTTTTAGTCCTTAATAACGGACATACTGGCACACATCAAAACAACGTTGTGGTATATTTAATAATGCCATTGTATCTATCTGTGAATTGCATGAGTTTGCCCTTTCTTTTCATAAGGCTCAACCCCTTGGAAACGAGCGGTTGTAGATCGTCAAGCATATCATAGATTTTGTATAAATTTATTTTTATTAAATTTATTTGCTTACTCTTTGACAAAACAAAATTGTTGCTATTGTGTGTGTTGATTAATGACCTTAGAATCTAATACGAAAAACGATTTCAAACAATTTAAAAAATAAATAAATAAAGAGAGATTGAGTTTGCGTCTGTATTTAGGTTTAAATTATCTATTGTACTTATGAATTTAGAAATATATGTATTCCTAAGTATGTTTATTCGTGTGGTGATGGATTAAGAATACGGAGTGTTACCACCCCTATTCATCTCGTGGGTGTCGTAAGAGCCGACTAAGGGAGCAAACTACGCAAGAGAGCGGCACTGCAAAGAGAAGGAAAACTTGATACAAACCCTATATAAACTCGTCTGGCTAACGTGGTATAGTAGCCCAAAATCTCCTTTCTAAGGAAAGGCATATATCCAGCAGTGGACGATTAAAGGCTGTTGATGATAAGTATGTTTATCATCAATCTGGTCACATAGTACAGGCTCTGCCTTGTTTGGGATTAGTCGGATATGTGTAGATGTGTCAAGTTATTTTATTATTATTGTTTTGAATCTGAGGTAAATGTGTGCAATATTGTAATTTAAGAGCTACTTTCTCTATACAGCTATTTCCAGTAAAAGAAAAATCATTTTTCTTAGAATTGTTCCGTACCGTAAGTTCAGTAAAATACATTGAATAATTTATTTATGAATGGAAACTACAAGTGCTACGAATCTTAATAAGGAACGAATACCTTAGTGGGGATAAAGTATGAAGTTGATATACTTATTAAAGTTGAATATAGTACAAAGTGAATATAAAAAATTAAGTATAGACAGTTTTGATGTAACAACGTCAAAGAAATGAACCTAGAAAACAACATATTTCTATTCTTAAAAGACGTTTTGAGGGTTTTTCAGTCTTATTCAATAGAAGAGTAACTCCTTACTCATTAGCGACTTAAACTAAACTAAAACACAAAAATCAATTTCTAGCTCAGGGTGATTTGACTCAGAAATGAAAACATGCATGTAAAGGTTGTGTCAGTAAGAGTGCACTCTTTAAATTTACAATCATTTTCTTTCGTGCCAGTGGCAACTCTGAAATTTGTCAGCTGTCACCTATGTTTATTCCCATTATTAAAAATAAACCGCTTTTCGAAAGAACAACAGGTTATAATTGTGAAAATTCATTACAGAAATGAGAAACATCAATTCGGCATCGTTCTCAACAACTTAAAATTTCACAAAGCACTACGCAGCAAATTTTTGACAAAAGAACTCCACCTTCATGCATACAAGATTCAGCTTACTCAGGAGCTCAAACCAGTAGACCATGGAAAGCGCCGGCAATTCGTTCAATGGGTAATGGAGCAAAGTGAAGTCGATGACAATTTTTCGAAAAAAAGTCATCTTCTCCGATGAAGCGCATTTTCATGTGAACGGCTACGCAATACACAAAATTGATGAATTTAGGGCTCAGAAAATCCTCATGCAACCCACGAGAAACAAATGCACCTACAACGAGCAACCGTCTGCGGATTTTGGTCAGGCGGCGTGATTAGCGTTACTTTTTTGAAGATAAGGCCGAATTTGCAGTGACTGTGAACGCCTTTCGTTACAGGAATATGATAACGGCTACAGAAATAGGATAGTTCTTGTGGCCTCAGCTGGACGGCATGGATCTGGACAACATGTGGTTTCCACACTATTGCAGCAATGACTTCCAGAACACATTATCTCACGAAATTCTGATGTCAACTGGTCACCCAGATCGTGTCATTTAACGCCGTGCGTTTTGTTCTTTGGGGTTTTGTGAAATCTCGGGTTTATAATCCAGAAACAATTCCTGAGCTCAAATTAGGGACCCAACGCGTCATCGGTGAGATACAGCCACATCTTTGTGAAAAGTCAGGGAAAATTTCATGAAAAGAGTAATGGCCTGTCATCAGAGCCTTGGGGGCCATTTGCCGGATATTTTATTCCATACTTAATGGGAAGATGTTTTCTTTACAATCCAATAAAAATATCACACCTCTTTAATAAAATACGTGTTTTTATTTTAAAATGAAAAAGTGAACTCTTACTGAGACAGCCTTTATTGTCATCATTCTACTTACATCAATAAGAGAGAACGACCGAACATGGAGAAGAAGAACCGCACTGCACCAAGACAATTGTTGTTAAAAAAAAATTGCATGAATCAGATAAAGTTATAAAAAATATTCACCCTTCCAGCGTATTTTGCGCGGATACAAAGTTTTGCACTGATGGACTATGTTATAGTAATCATCATCATGGGGTGCCATCCTCAAAATGAAGTTTGGAGGTCAGCAGACGGTACACCCCTCGATCATGAGCGGCCTCCTTTAGTTGGCGATATCGCAGTCCGGTCCAGGCCACTATGTCATCTATCCACTTCCTTCGTGGTCGACCTGGTGGCCTCCTGCCTGGTATTTTTCCTTCTAACAGAAGCCTCAGGAATTCATGTTGCGGGCCCCTTTGTATATGTCCAAAGAAGGCCACCTTCCTTTTCGCTATAACCGCCATCAGTTCTCTCCTGCACTTGGCTCGCTCCAGCACCTCTACGTTGGATGTAAAACTAGTCCACGGGATTTTAAACATCCTCCGCAATAACCACATCTCGAAGGCTTGCAGTCGGTTACATATTTCTTTCCTTAAGACCCACGTCTCACACCCATACAACAGTGTGGACCAAACGTAGCATTTCATGACGCGGTGCCTCAAAGGAAATGGGAGTTTTGGGTCGCATAAAACCTTAGACATCTTGAAGAAAGCAGTCTTAGCTTGTCCTATTCGACATTTCACCTCTTCCAAATGGTCTAGGTCATTCGTGAAGTATCGGCCAAGATATTTAAACCCACCAACGCCTGCCACATCTACCCCCCGAAGCTTTATATTTGGAGTGGGCATCATTGTCTTCGCTATAACCATGGTCTTCGTTTTATGAACATTAATTGACAAACCCATAGCTTCTCCCGCAGTTGCTACTTCATCTAATAAAGTTTGCAGTCCGGCTTCTGAGTTTGCGATAAGCACTGTGTCATCTGCATATCTTATATTATTGACCAGCAGTCCATTGACGCGTATTCCCTCTCTTTTATCGCGTAGTAACTCTGTAAGGATATCCTCTGAATATAGGTTGAAAAGAAGAGGGGAAAGTATGCACCCCTGTCTGACACCTCGAGCTATCGGTTTCCAGTCTGACAACATCCCTTCGATCCGGACTGCTGCTTCTTGTTTCCAGTAGAGGTTGCCAATAATTCTGAGATCCTTTCCATCTAATCCCTTCCTTTTCAGAACTTCCATAAGCTTAGAGTGCTGGACGCGATCGAATGCTTTCTCATAGTCTATGAAGCACAGATACACTTCTTGCTGGTGTTCGAGTGCTCGCTCTGCCAATGTGTTGACGGCAAATATAGCCTCCCTTGTGCCCATGCCGGCTCTAAAACCGAATTGTTGCGGACATAAGGTATCCGCGCACTTGTTCTTGATTCGGTTATAGATAATTCTCAGCAACACTTTCATGGTATGACTCATCAAGCTTATCGTACGGTGATCTGAGCACTTGACCGCTCTTGGTTTTTTGGGAATTGTGACAAAAGTGGAGCGTAGAAAGTCATTTGGAATCACGCCCGTATCATAGATTTTGTTGAACAGGGATACCATGCTGGCTTTGGCCTTATTTCCCATGTGTAGTAGCAGTTCCACCGGTATCTTGTCCTCGCCCGCAACCTTTCCCGTCTTTATTCCATTCAAAGCGTAGTCAAGTTCTTCCAGGAGTATAGGCGGTCCCGTCATGACATTGTCCACTTCTTGGTCGGGTCTGATGTCTTGAAAGAGTTCGGTTATATACTCTTCCCACCTCCGTAAACGGTCCTCTGTTTTAAGGAGAAGTTTCCCATTTGAGTCCACGATGGCGTGAGGGGCCGAGGGTTGGTTGCCCATAGACATAGTTTTCAGAGCCTTATGCAACTCACCATGTTGATGTGTAGATTGCAAATATTCCATCCTTTGACACTGGTCTCGCAGTTCATTCTCTTTTGCTTCACGGATTTTGATTTGAAGTTGGTCATTGAGCTGTCGATATTCTTCAGGATTTAGTTTACTTTCTCTTCTTTTGTCCAATAGGTCTAAAATCTCATTAGTGATCCAGTGTTGCCTTCTCTTCCATACCCTGTACCCAAGTGCTTCCGTTGCCGCTTTTGTAAGAGCTGTTTTAATATTTCCCCAATGCGATTCCTCACTTAATGTTATATCCATCTTAATAATTTCGTCAGTTTTTTCCAAAAAGTGTTGTACAACTTCCTCGTCTTTGAATCTCTCGACATTCAAAACTTTGTTAGGCTTTGCTTTTTGTACGCGTTTAGGTTTCAGCCTTATCTTACTTGCTACAGGATTGTGGTCAGACTCTATGTCTGCACCCGGGTATGTTTTAACACTAGTTACTGCGTTGCGGTATCTGTAGTTGACACAGATATAATCAATTTGGTTCCTTACAATCTTGTCACATGTGTGGGCTGGAGACTGCCACGTATAAAGCCGCCTTTTCGGTAAGTCAAACCAAGTGTTCATGATAGTCAGAGAGTACTCCGTACAGAACTCTATGAGTCGGTCGCCCCTATCATTCCTGGTTCCGAGTCCATGCGGGCCAACAATGTTGTGTTCCGGAGTATCCCCAACTTTGGCATTAAAGTCCCCCATAACCATTATAAGCTCATGCTTTTTTACCAATTTTAGTACCGCATCCAAGTCTTTGTAGAAGTTTTCACACTCAGCTTCAGTGCTTTCAGAAGTAGGTGCGTATACCTGGATAAGGTTGGTTTTTATAGGCTTGGTGTTTAGCTGTAGCAACATTACTCTATCGGACCGTGGAACATATCCTGTCACACACTCTCTCACTTCCCTCGTCACTATGAACCCAACCCCAAACCTATGCTTCTGTCCGCCGGAATAATAAAAATGTGTGCTGTCGTAAGATGGAACATCCCCGCACTCGATACATCTCACTTCGCTCACTCCAAGAATGTCCCAGCGGTACCTCCTCATTTCCCTTACTGCGTTTTCCAGCTTTCCATCTTTGTAAAGAGTTTTCACATTCCAAGTCGTAACCTTTAACTCGCCATGGTCGTCGTTTAATCGTATGCCCCGCCCGGGGATTATTACCCTCTTTTGCCGGGCACTGAGGGATTCTTTATTTTGTACCTTCATGCTGATATACTTGGGATTTTAATTGCAGTGGTTTCCCGTTGCCTTCTGCATCAGGTCTTTTTGGGGGTATTTACTCCCCCAAGGCCGCTGAAGCCTCTTCTGACCGGTGTGTTAGCCAGGAGTGTGGTTATACCGCCACTGCTCGGTCGTCAGAGCCCCGTCGGTTATCTAGCAGGGAGCACCACGGGGACCTATTGGTCACCGCCGTCCGTTGACGTGTGCAGGAGGGGTTGACATTTGGGTCGGATACGATGGTAGTTCCGTCCCCCTTACTCCCCTATAGTAATACTCGTACATAAACAATGAACCTAATTCATCCATATCAATTCAATTTTTTAGACTGCCAGCCGCAACTAGATCAGAATAAACGCTTGCTAGTGCTCGGCCAAACTATTTCATATTTAAAGGTGGTTAACTATCATATAACTAGTATTATACTGGTTTGTGACAACAGCGGCCCGGTGCGGCTCCTAGCGGACCGCCTGCTCCCCTACGCGGTACACCGCTTTTTACAAAATGATAATAATGGAAGTTTCCGCTTACCGACCTAGAGTAGTGAAAGATTTATTTACGCTTAGAAACTCATTTGCCAGCGAAACCCAAAATAACAAGCAACTCAACAGCTTGAAAAATATTATTTCTGTAAACGTGGGCGTGGAGGTCGGTATCGCGTAATGTCCCCTAATGTGCGCGCATAAAAAATCCAACGCCGGCCGCGAATTCTCTTCAAATGGACTAAATTTTATGCAAATTTTCTTTATGATCTTTTGGCGTTTGACGGGGATTAACGCGACGAGGATATTCGACAGTTTTATCATTTTGACGACAGCGAAGGGTTGAATTTATACGCCTCCCTCTCTACAAAGATAATATTTGAAACGATGTACCTTACACGTTTGACAGGCATGACGATTTTGTGAATTATAAAATTAAGTAACTCGGAGTGTCTGTGTTTTTTAGGACTACACTGTATGACTGTGTTGGTGACTAGTACCTGCAGCCTTTTAATATGAATAAAAGTGCATTTGTTTTCAATTCGTTCATTTTGTCTTTGGACCAACACTTTTTTTTGTTTACGGGGATGAAAATCCCTTCAGATCTCCTGCTCCTCAGGGACTCAGGAGCCAGGAGTATGTGGTGATTCTACTAAAAACCAACCCAACGGCCAGGTGTCCTACTCTGGGAAGACTCGGCCCATATTATTTGAGGTCCTCCCCGAATTGACAACATGCCTAATCAGGCCCAAATTAAATGTAAATGTACACAAATGTATGTACGGAGCGGGCATCGAACCCGTGACCTTTGGCGTAGCAGTCCGTTACACAAACCACTACACCATCGTCCACCGTCCTTTTAACAACCCTAAAATAGTTAATTAATAAGAATAATTACAACAGTTTATTAAACACAAAATTTATCATGTTCTAAATATAGTTATTTTTACATGCAGAAAATGAGATAAATTGTGAGTCTCACTTTTTTTAAGTCTGTTACATGCAAATGCAATACGTAAGGGACTTGTAAAAACTATTAATCAGAATAAATATAGGAATTGTTATGCAGTTTCAGAGAAATTGATCTTTGAGATTGTTAAATGATGTTTAGATGTTTACTTTTTTTCAAGAGCATAATTTTCTTCATGGTCCTGTCGCCACATATGAGCTTAAGCTGGGTAACCCAAGAAAATCTATATAAATCAATATAACGGATTTAGGAGGGAAGAAGTCAGAAGTAATTTGTAGAACTTATGAGAAACACTTACTTGCTAAATTTCGTACAAAATAGAAAAGCCTAAGGAATACTCACTTAGATGAACTAACTTGTTAAAAACGGGTAGTGATAAACTATTAAACTCTACACTATGACTTGCCAGACATATACTCGTACTTGGGCTGTTGGTATTTTTATTTTGGTTTTAACGGGCTCTCAAGTCTTGTTGTAAATTAATAGTTAGTTAATGACACTAAAACCTACTACTATGTATCCATTTAGTAATGACGACAATTATGTGAAATAGCACTTTTACAAAGTGTTATTTTACATAATTGACAACAGCGCTATTTGGCAATAAAAAAACGAATACTTGTATTTAAAGTTTGTAATCAGTGGTTCTGCTAAAAGTACTTTCAATTTTTATTATTGGTGAGTGAGTCAGTGAAAAATTAATAACAAACATTGATTTGAAATAGTTTTTAAACTACAAACACAAATATAAATGTAATATTGAAATATACTAAGTTAAATACGTCTTTTTTATTTAGGGGTGAAATTGCTTAAAAAACATTCTTAGTGGGTACTTATAACTTAAAAAGACATCAGTTGCCAAGTTTGTAGCCCCAGCGCTTTAGCTCTAAGTTGATGAGTCAATCAGTCGAGGTAAATAATTTTGTGTATAGATGAAATTAAAGGGAATTAAAAATGTCCTAAATAGCTTCGAGAAATGGCTTTGGTTTTTTTTTGTCGATTTTACACTAATATTTGTATTTTTTTCCATTTTTGGGTGTTATATCTAATACATCTGCTACATACCCAAAAAGGTTATCATGATTTAGAAGAAGAATATATTTTTTTTGCTAAACACTTTTTTTTATAAAAGTTGTTTTGTGTACTAAGTATAATAACTGGCTATAGTATATTGGTAGATTAACGAAATAACTACTATAAAGATGAACGATATCCATTGCATTATAAACAAATAACAACAGAACGGGTGCTTATATAATAACGGACATAATACTGCAAGTCTCTACCTAACCCGTGTCGACGTCGTACGCGTTCGGAATCCATTTAAAAACTCATTTCTTGAAGTCACGGAAGTAACGTCATAAGCTGTCGATCCAAGTCCTTCTTCCCAGGAAACATAGACAAATAATGGAGATATGCTATGTTAATCTTGCCGTAGTTTCCTTAAACTGTATCTGAAAATAGTAATTTCAAACTAACTTTTGTTAGACAAATACTACGACAATGTATAAAATTTGTATGAAATAATAAAGCTATATTGCTTGCCGTGGATATTAGTTTATTAAAAAGTATGAATAATAAAATAAACCAATTATACCAAAAGGGTTTGAATGATTCTGTGAAATAATAGTTGTAATTGCAAATAGACAGAAGTTGCAATCACACGAGGTTCAGTTGCGATCGAAAAAATATTTGCTCCAATTGGACAGAAATAATGTTGCATAAAAATGCATTTGTGTTAGTATTATTTCGTTGTTTTTTATTATTATGTTCGTTGTCTGTGTTTTGTACGTAAAACTGACCTATTTTACTCCTGGGTAGTTAACACAAAGATAAAATTAGGGCGTCGACAAAGTAACAGTACCCACATTTATCTTACTTTATGCTCACCTTAATACTACTTTTTGCAACGCTTTGTTTTAATGTCCGGTGACGGTAGAAAATAATTAACAATCTTATCTAACATCTTAAGACTTGAATGGTAGATATTCAAACCGAATGTTTAGTCTTGTTCCTTTCAAAGTGTTCTTGTTTTTTTTATAAAAGTATCGGTCATTAATTGTTTTCAAAATCAACAATTTCTGCTAAATTACCTAAAAAATTCCTGATTGAGATCGATTATTTATTTGAAACCTTGAAGCCACGATAGTAATGAAATAATGGAACGATGACTAAGGAAATGTGTTAATGAGTTTCAAAGGCTTGATTATTATTATTCGCGTGCTTGTTTGCCACCTAAGTAGCATTAAAACTACCCCTATAAATTTTCGCCAACCATAAGTTTCTTACTAGCTTTTGCCCTGTCTGCGTAAATATCGGTTATCGCGGTAAAAAGTAGCCTATGTCTTTCCTCCAGTATCAAAGTATCTCCATACTAAATTTCATCTAAATCGATTCAATGGTTTAAGCGTGAAAAGGTAACCGACAGACAGACACACACACTTTCATATGAATAATATTCGTATGGATATCTCAACCATTATATAAAAACTACTTTGAAGTGCATACAACGTGTACTGGTATTGCAAGATGTAATAAAACTCTGTTGCTCTTCGGGCAAACTAAAATATACAAGTTTTCTGTTTGCGATGAAAACAAAAATTGTTAATCGACATATAAGGAGGTAGGGTGAACTTACTTTGTTCACCACTTACCTTTTATCTATTTCAGATATTACAGTCTTAAAGTTTCGGCACTACGAATTATGGATGTTACTTTTAAATGTTTTAAGAAAACTGCTATTTGTTACACTTGTTTGTAAGGTCTATGAATTCCTGGGGAAAAATACGAAATTTTTTCTCTTAACGCTCCATTTCTAAGTCTTTAAACTACCTTTACGTCTTAGCTTTAGTCTTTAATTCATGTCTATTTATAAACAACCATTATATTATTACACTTGTCTTGGTAAAATTCTTGGCGACGCTATTTTTCCTTTATTTTTAAATTAAGATTCTCTTTTTCTTCTTTTGTTGTAGTGAGGTATAACAATATTGAAATGCATTGCATGTCTTCGTGTTAAACACCAAAAATCTAGCCGAAACCAAGTTTAATAAAGTAATTAGAGCAGTAACAAATTGCTTCGTATCGACTGACATCAGTGTAAAATGAAGGGAGTCTGGTGGCTGAGTAATTTCCGCCACCAGCACGCCTTTCGACTACCAGTAGCGGCCAACCTGCTCGCTTTTTGTAATTGGAGAACTGTATCGGTGTTTAAATGCAATTTTGTAAGGGAAGACCGCCTTGGCAAATTTCTGATGAAAGCTATAGAACAAACTTTTGTTTTTATAGTCAATCAGAGAGTAACTTATAAGCTACTCTAGTTGTAAACTCTTTTTAGATATTGAAGATTATAGTTTAAAATACCTTTAGACGTACTAATACAACCAACCGACATAAAAACATGAGTCCGGCACTGTAACTTCTTATCACAGGCTGCTCAGTAACCAGCATCCAAGAGTGCAGCACTCAACCCAATTTGTGAAAATTATTTTCAATTGTACATACATACGTAAGTAAAACAGTGAGAATGTCTTTAA